CAGTCCAACCCCCTGCCACGCAGGAACTCAAAATCAAAGCATCCCCGACAGATGGCCATCAGGTCCTCCCTCCAAAATAACTTTTCCAAAATGACTTTAGGCCTTTTTGCAAAACTGCATCAACATGACCCTCCTCGAGGGATTTTTCTTACCTAGGTTGCCATGTCTAGCTGTTCCTGGGATCCCTCGATTTGGGAGATTGTGGAGCATGGAGCTATCAAAGTGAGATGCAGTCCATCCGGTCCCCAACTCGGGGCTCATGTAGGTCGCTGGATAGGAGCTAGAGTAAAACCCCTGAAATTCCGGATGTACTGTTCTCTGCCATTGGCTGTAATGCTGAGTGAATTACTATAAGCGGCCACCTCTCTGGAGGTGGTGGCCAAGATGGGGCTGCTGGTGGCGAAGGAGAACCTGGGGGACACCGAAGGGTGAGAAGACCCCGGGTTGTAGGCCACACTCTCTGCCCCCGGTTGAGTCCAAATGGAGTGGCTGGAGACTGGGCTTCCCTGTTGGGATGAGGCACCCCCTTGGAGATAAGGCAGGCTGGAGATCATGGTGGTGACCCTGGTGATGGGGATGTAGACTGGTGAGGCGGCAGCCGCACTGTGCATATAGGAGGGTGGGCTGTTGTTGGTTGCCATGGCCAAACTCTGGTACATTGTGGGAGGTGCAGGATGGGCCTTGGTCCACCAAGCCAACCTAGGCCAGGGAGGAGGAACCGAAGTATGATGAGATATCACTCAGGTGTCCTTCTGCTACAACAAGGGGCCATGCAGTTCCCAATCAGGTCCAGAGAGGATGGTTCAAGATCTGGGGTGATCTGGAAAATTCTGAACAATTCTGAGAAGGTTCCTCATGGTGGTTCTCTCCCAGAGGTCTCCAACCATCAGAGGTTGGGGAGATCTTCACTCCTGCTTTTCCCCTCTTCAACCACAGTTACTCACAGCTTGTCATTCAAACACACACACACATGGAATGTATGTTCTGTATGGAAATTAAGACAGAAATGTCAAGGTGAAATGAGGGGGATAATAGTCTAATTGCTTCTAAGATGGTTATAGAGCAGAATGGAGGGCGATTCCTGGCAGCACCACAGCTGGGATGGAATCGGGAAGCTAACTACTGTATATCCTCATGTATAAGTCTAGAAATTTGTAATTAAATATATACACTCCCATGAGAATCTGTTGCTGAAAAGAATCACGTAAGCACTGCAAATTGTTGCAAACTGCTGCTGTGCTCGCTGAAATGGAGATTTGCACACAGCCTTCTCCTTTTGACCAGAGCTGAACCCACCAAAACTGGAGAATTTGCACTCTCATCTCCTCCCTGGAAATAATCATTAAAGCTGGAGGGTTGGGGCTAAGCTCTGAGATCTGGCAACCCTAATCATAAACGCAACAAGGACATAGTGTTAGTTGCTTCTTCTCCCTCCCTCTGTTTGTGAAATGAGCTATTAAAATCAAATGGCTCATTCACAGAATTCCTTCCCCTCCCTCCAGCACCGCCATCTTTATAATTCTCCCAATCCTGGGCATGTTTACTCAGAGTAACTCAGTTTAAAGTATGTACCTGATCCAACAGGCTATGCCCTTCCTTGTCTTTTAATGCTTTTTTATATGCGAAGCAGGCTTTGAGTCTCTTAGAAGTCCTCTGATAATGGAAGGAGGCACCTTGTATGAATGCCAGGCAGGCTGCTCCATTATGGATAGACCTGTTTCCATCCAGCAGCGACAATGTTGATATTTTTTGCTTTGTCTCATTGCCAGCCTGTGAGCTGAGTGTTTTTCTAACTTCCCAGCGCATTACTCTCTGTAAGCAGCTTCCGAGGCCCCTTCTCCTTAAATGGTTATTTAGAATTAAAGTAATCACACCGGCTTCAAATGGAACTAGAGAAAGAGGGGGAAATGGTAAAGCAGAAGTAACCAACCGGTAGCCCTCCATGCAAAACTGGGGTTGTACAAATTGTCTTTGTGCGAGTGTGTGTGCATGTGTAAATGTGTGGGGGTGCAAGGTCTTTTTATGCCAGGGTGAAGAATAAGGTAGCAAACCATTCAATCTACCACCAGGAGCTAACCAAATGACTCTGCCTTCAACACTGGCAATGCAACAGAATCTTCCATCATACCCAACAATAGCTCAAGAGGCAGAAGGCCATACCCTCCAACATTTCACAGATGGAAATCAGCCTATGTGTGGTCAAGCAACATCAGAGCGTGGTCAAGACGGAAAAAGGAATTAATGAGGAAGAGCACCCAAGCTAAGAGAGGCTGTAGCAGTTTGATAGTTCTTGAGCCCAAGAGGAAAGGCAAGATCCCTTCATCCATCCCTCACCAGTGGCATCACTAGGGTTGGTGTCACCCGGTTTCGGCAGCTCATGGTGTCATCCCCACAATCGACCTCCTCCCATACCAAACCATACAGAATCCTTAGGAATTTTTTTTTTT